TTGTGTTTTCGCCACCGGCAGAAAAAAAGTAACGTATGTTTTCGGCCATCTCCCTTTTCTATATACATTTTATAACCATCACTCCGATTTCGCAAGGTCGGACACTCGTCTGATTTTGTCTTTGGTCTTAATGCGAGAGAGGAAAAGTGAGCTAAAAGTACAGAGAATTGACTATGATTCGAACCATGGGGGAGATAGTGGTCATCGAAACTTGATGGCCGAGAACGGACATTACTTTTGCTGTTCTAATTACCTAGACCCATCATTGCGGGTTTCGTTCATAAGCGAACACAAACAGACACATACGCATACAGAGACAGACACACTCACAGGCTTCGGGGTTGATATATTACCGTAACTAGCCAATTCACTTTATACCTCATCAAAGAGGCCAGATACAGAGTGTATTTACATATTTTTAAGGATTTTCCGGTGAGTTTTCTTGACTCGTTAGCTTGATTTGTGTTGTGACGATGATGGTGTTGGTCATATGATGGACGAAAGCTAAGTATTTTTTCATCAAAATCGAAGGAGATTGCCTCGGAAACAGCGTCAGTATGCAGGTTCCAGTAAAGCCAATCGACAGCTGGTTAAGAGGAATCCGCCGTTGTCCTCTGCTGGAATCCAGCTTCGAATCTCTTCACCAAACACTTTTACTCGAAATGGAAGAAAGCTCCACATTCCTCTAAACCCAACTTTTCTTCGCATATATTAGGGAAAGAAGCTTCTTCTTTTAATATCGGTTCTAAGTATGTGTATTAGATGACGTGGCTAGGGCTCGAACTTTCGTCAAAGTGATAACTGTTTTTCAATACATTTGGGTTTCGAGATTATCAATTATGCTTAAATAAAAACTTAACTACTCTGTCGAGCACTGTGATTTAATGACTTGAAGTGGATATTTCCCACAGTCTGATGCTAGGCCTCGGGATGTCATTGAATTTCACTTAATCTTGCCTCTCAAAAGAACATCTCATTCAGAACAGCTTGCGCTTTCGATCTCGCCCAAGCCTAATCATCACCCACAATGAGATCCGATCCCGGGTCGTGAGTATCGTCGCAAGGTTATGACTACACTACACTCGATCTATTCCACGATCACGAGTTTCAGTAGACCCACATGGCAGATGCGTTATTCAGGGCCAGTCAGGCCTCTCATAGATCACACATTGTCTGTTAGGCAAGCCTGTATTTTCTATTGCAATCTATGATGTTACTTATTTTCGATATAAGTAGGTTACAAAGCTCGATATCGAAGCCTATTGCAGGCAGGATCGAAACTGCAGTCCAGCAAAGATGAGATCAGCTTTCGGGAGGCCAGGCTTAGTGTAATGCAATGCCGTCGTGAGGTCTATTCATAGATTGTGGGAAAAACTCTTTATCGGTCCCAAACTCACCATACGCGATCTGGGCTTACTGAGTTCTTTTTTCGTGAGTGAGTAGGTTTTCGAGACTACCAGTTAATGAGATGTATGAATTATGCTCACCCTATTTCGTTGAAGATGATGAGGGACTGGTAGTTGACTTTTCCCACAATCATATGAGTAGAGCTCACTTTCACGTATCCTTGATTTCTCAAAATGTGCTCTCATCCAGAATGGACTGCAGTTTCGGCATCGCCTTGTCTACATCTTATCAACACTCCAAGCGGGAGGGCAACGTGACATTCCTTGAAATGGACATCAGCCATGTGACCCAATGGCACTCGTGGCAATTCGGCTGCACCGTCACGGTTCGACTCCCGCTGGGGGTGATGATAATGCCGAGGCGAGGTCAAAACTGCAGTCCACTTCTGGCTGGATGAGAGCAACTTTGGGGAAAGCAAGGATATGTGAAATTGGATGAAAAATATGAGCAATACTCATATCGTTGTGGGAGAATTCAACTGCCAATCCTTCATTACTTTAAATAAAATAGGCCCAACACAACTCATCTTACTGAGTTCTGTTTAAAGCGATCATTGTCCGTCGATTTGTCGACGTTATTAACACTTTATGGAAGATGGCCAATTGATTGCTTTTCATGAGTCTATAAACCATCAAATCAGTGTCTGTATGCAGCTTTATGGTCGGTAAGACGTGCGTTTTCCGGGCTCACTCCTCACATGGAGTTTTATTTCCATTTTTGACACAAGTTTTCGCCGTGCTCATAGGCGAAATTGGCAGAAAATAAAAGTCACCACCAGATCTGCCGGTTAGATTCGCCATAATTTGCATCTCAGAGCGCACTTTTATCTCTACCATCGCCTGTGTCCAAAGACGAATAAGTGATTACCAGGCTACAGGCAACCGACAAGCAGTAGCTCGGATACAAAAGAAAGGTTTTTAATCACGTTTTTACGTGACTTACGGAATTCTATGCTTAAAAAACTATCACCCACACGACATGCACATGCATTCACATTGCCATCTAGATTGCCACATACACACACATGTGCACATGCACAAACAGGGCGAAGGACAACTGTCTGTTGGAAGTAGCTCCAAGTCCCATTGTCGTCTTCACACGGTCACATTCCATGCGTGATCATAGGCCATTCAATCTGTTAGACTGAGTGAAGAGACCGCCTGGTTGCCGGGCTACAGCATTAGCAACAACAACAACAAAAACAACAACAACATGCAAACAAGCAGGGGCGAAAATGTGGAGGTGAGGCGGCATGAAAAGGGTGTACACTACTTACTACTACTTACTACTTACTTAAATCTACGTGTTGTTTTCGCTGTTTTTCTTCATGCAGAGCTTCTTCCTTCCCGCCGATATCGACACAGACCGGCTTTTATGGCAATTGCACGTGGAAGAGAAACCCAATGGGGCAAGCGACCCTTGGTCCGATCGACACTCAGACGCCTGCCTCACGGCAGGTGGTACGGGCAGACGTCGAAGTCGACTGAGGAACATCCTCGAGATTAGAGCTCCCTTCCGAGTCTACTCTGGTCCGTCGTCGTTATGCTGCTCGAGGCCCGACTCTACATCTCGCTCGGTCACAATCATGCCGTTGTCAGGCGGACGGACATGCACTCGGACGCATCGGCATGACATGCACGACGCCTTTTCGGTGTGTGAATCGTCTGGCTCCGTAACGCCGTCCGAATGTCCGTCCGACCGACGACACGACAGACCATCGGCGTCCTCTTCGCCCCTCGCCTTCAGCTGCGCCGGACACCGGCCAGGTTGGCCAAGCCGCCCGACGTCGACTTGCTGGACCGTGGCCGGTCTGGAACCGGGCCTCAGCATCACCGAGAGCCCCGGCTTCCCGATGCGACGGATTGGCGACCCGATGCGGCCAGCTCTACAGCCCAGCCCTTGGCCGGTTCGTGTGGAGCGGACGACCGGCAGAGTCGACTTCTCTTCTGGACGGGAAGCTGGCGCCAAAACTGCAAAGAGCACAGGTGACCAATAGGCATGTGCTCTACGGGAAATCTGGAGCCAGTGAATGGGAACTTAGAAACACTCATTCATACATACATACATACATATATACATATATTATTCATTTAAACAACTATATATATATAGTTGTTAGGGGGACCTTCATTTCGAATGAAAGTGCAGGAAGAAGAGATTCGTTGGTCGATCTCACCAGATGAGGACGGATGA